TTCGGCATCTTGTGCTTACTTCCTTGCGTACGGATGACAGCTGCGTATGACTTGATATACTTTCTGGCGCTTTCACTTCCAGAGACACTTGTAAGCACTGTGTAACTGCCTCGAGGGTGCTTGACCATTTCAACACAACGTGGTGCGATCATCCCCCTTGCGCGGAGTGAGGCTTCTCGACCCCGCACAACATGATCTACTCGACCACCATTATGGTTACCGCCAAAAAAAAAAACAGAGGTAAAAAAAAAAAACGGTAACCTGGTTGCCGAGTTCACGAAGTGAATTGGCTTGTTTTACAACGTCGTTGCCAAGCGACGAAACCCAATCCCGACGGCAAACACCGGGGGGGGCGGCTTGTTTTACAACGTCGTTGCCAAGCGACGGGAGCGCTGTGGGGGAGGGATTTTCGTGGTGGGGGGGAGAGCGAGGCGGCACTTCGAGGATTTTTCAGTGTGGAGGCGGAGAGCACTTCGACGCCTCGGGGAATTTTTTTTCGCGGCGGGAGGAGAGAACGAGAGAGCGAGACGAACGACCTCGCCACAATAATTGCTGTGTCTTATGTGTCAAAGTGCTGTTGTCCTTGTCATGTGCTGTGTCTATGTTTGTCCTTGTCAATGTACTGTGTACATACAAAAAAAAAAAAAAAGCTTGAGCCTTGCGTTGGGAGAGTGCGCGTAGCTCCCGATGGTGTTCGAGATCGTCGTCGGGTGGAGCGCCAACTGTTGTGATCTGCGGGGTCACCCGCGCCCTGCTCTTCGTCCGGGGTGTGTGCGCGCCGTTCGCGTATGACACGGTAAATTGACGCGACGACAGTGGTCTTGCAATTGCGCCGTCAGTGATAACGCGGTCCGTGTGGTGGTCGTTTCCCTTTACGTGTCTTGGTGCTATCAATTGGTCTGCGGTTGTATGTTGGACGTCTTCACCGTCTGCTCCATGTACGACCGTGTAAGCCATTTTCTTGCACAGCAGGCCACCCAATCAACGGAGGAATGAAAGGTTTAGGTTTGGTAGACATGGGGGGGTTAGGGAGAAACACGCAACAGTAGATATAGTTTAAGAAGCTAGAGGCATGCGGGTTTTGCTTCTGCTTTTGTAGAGAATCAGTGATTTCACTCTCAAGAGTTACGTACGGTGTTCCGTTTTACCTTCGGGTTTGAGTCCCGCTTTAATGCCGTAGTTCAGCTCTCTGTGTGTTAGAGATGGCATACTTCCAAGCCTCCCCGAGGCGATGTTGTTGACTTACCGCTTGGCCGTTGCAGGATATGGTTTTATATTTTCATTTCCCAGGATGAACGATGGGAATTTATTTATTTATTCTCCGTTGCCCGATGTAGGGCCAGCCGACGTCGGACGTCTGGGGGCTATTGTTTTTTCGTAGTTGTTGCTATGGATTTTCTGGATCCTTCTACAGTAGTCTCTTCATTCATTCGCTGGTGAACCCTTTTTGAGTGGTTGGCTGTGATCACCGCAGGCGTCCACGTCAGTTGGACCGATACGGGTGCTCGACGGAACTGGGCAATTAAACGTAGAAGACGGCGTGTGAATCAAATCAAGTGGTTTATGGAAATACAGTATGTGCGAAGGGTTTGCTGACAACAACTCCCCGAGTGTTTCGAGCGGCGTTGTCAGTTTCGTTTTTGTTTTTCATGTGTGTTTCTTGGGGGCTCTTGGCTGTCGGGCAGGGGTAGTTCCGGTTCTGCGCGTTTCGATCTCCGTGGTGTAGCTATTAGACTTTGGTAGGCCCGCATTGAGGCCTGGCGGGGTGAACAGCTCTCCCGCAGAATCACTCCGTGTCCCCGCGCTGCAGAGGTTGATATCCGTGACGTTTGCGTTGATTGGCGTGCGGTGTCCAGTAGATGTGCTCCTCACGCTCTTTGTACGTGTGTGCGTGGGTGGTGTTTAGGCGATGTGCCAGTCCACTCTTGTACTCACTGAACTGTATTTGATTCTCGGCTATCGGCGTGTGTGTCCATTCAACAAACGGCGATTTGTGTGCAGGCGAGGCATTGAAAGTATTTGTGACGGATAAACACTGTAGTACGTCCGATCATTCCACTGTTTTCTGATCGGCCAAAAAGCGGTGCATGGTGTGGCCGTTTTGGCCCCGGCTGTGTCTGGTTGCTCCTGAATCTCAAATTTTCGAATAACACTCTGCCCCTTGAGTGGCGCGGGCCTCTCAGCCGGAGCGGTATCTACGTCCAAGCATAACATCGTTTTAGCTGCGCCTCCACGGCGCCGCACTAGTCTCTTGATCCTTTGGTCGCGATCGCGGCCCGCGTAACAAACGTTTCACGCCTTTCCAGGAAGCTATGAACTCCGGGCGCGTTGTCAAGGGTAGCTCATGCCAGCAACAGGTATTAGTTTCTGTCTCTCCCCATGGAAGGCCGAGCCCGGCAGAGAGCGCACCAGTTCGGCACCCGACATAGAGTCCCTATTTCATCGGGAAAGGGAGTCCAGGTTAAGCTGACGAAAAACCGGCCGTCGAACTGCGGTTACTAAACGCAAAAAATATTCGCGTTGAGCTAAAGTGAACGTAGTCCAACGCTCGTGATCCCATACTTGCACGCACGTCGTACGTCAAGGGATGATAATAGTGATAGCCGTGGGACCTCTACAGGAAGACTGCACAGCTACAATGCGCTGCTTCAAGTTTGATTCACATTCGCAGGCACATACTTGGTGGCACGCGAGGGCAGAGTAAAAACTCCGGCTCAAACTCCTATCGACGGAGACAACACCACAGCCCCACCGCACACTCATCAGCTTCCTCGGAAAAACAACGACGACACCCTTCAATACACTCCACAAGCAACAAAATATTCAGTCGGATTCGCCCGAGCCGTAGCCGCCAAGCAGCGACAGCGACCCGCCGGCACCAGCCCCCCCTGCTGCCGCCCCTCTTCCTACGCCCACCCCCGCCTCCCCCGCGGGCGGCAGTCGCTCGAAACTCTGACGCTGCGCGACGCTGCTGCCAGGAGGCGTGCTTGAGCTGACACCAAGAGGTTGGGCGGGATAGCCTTGTCTTGCTCCGCCATGCGTGCTCTGGAGTGATGGTGCGTCGGTGCTCGCGTGTCGGTCACCGGGATCGTCGCTTAAGCTCGTGTGCCGGTGACCTGCGCTTGGATTTTGATTACCCATCTTGGGGTACTGATGATCCGTGATGGGGTATTGATGATCCGTGCTGGGGTACTGATGATCCGTGCTCGGGTACTGATGATCCGTGATGGGGTACTGATGATCCGTGCTCGGGTACTGATGATCAGTGTTGGGGTACTGATGATCCGTGTTGGGGTAATGATGATCCATGTTCGGCGGGTACTGATGGTCAGTGTTGGGGTACTCGCCGTTCGCCTCAGGGTGCCCCTGTACGGCGAGGTACTGCCGCTGCGTGTTCAGGAGCTCGAGATCGGCCTTTTTTACAAAACAGACAGCAGCAACAACAACAACGGCACGACAAGAACGTGTCCAACACGAAGGCGGCAAGAGATTAGACATGAGGCGCCGCCGAAAGGTGAGGCGCAACGCACAGGGGGGGGGGCTATGTAGTCCCGTCCGTTGTCTCCCCCACCCTCACCCTCCCCTAACTCAAACCTAACCTAAACTCCACCTGTTTGCTCGGGTCCATTCCGTCCCCTCTCTCTCTCTCTCTCTCTATCTCTCTCTCTCTCCCTCTCTCTCTCCCTCTCTCCCCCCCATTCCCGTCACCGTGGCCTAGCCTTTTTTTCGCCCCACCACATACCCTACCTGCGAGGGATTGCGCGGGTCCATTCCCGCCTTCCTTAAAAGGGCGCGGTCTGCCCCCGGGAGCCGGCCGGCGACGTCGGACGGCAGGGCACCGTTAGCCACCTGGGCAGCCAAGAGGGTCTGCGCGTGCCCCGCCCTCGCCTGGACAACTGTTTTCAGCAGCAAAGCAAGTGGTGTCGGCCGTGGTTGTCGGACGTTCGTGGGTAACCAACCCAAGGCGTGGCGGGGAGGCGCAACACTGAAACGAAGGGCAAGCGGCAATAGGCGACTTCTTATCGAGTTGCCGATAGCAGCACATCAGTTCGAGCAACACTTCGAACCCGCCCATGCCCACCATACCCACTGGTCCCACCGCAAGTCGAACTTGGTGACTCCGCGGAATGTGCTAGGGGGGGCGTACTCATGATTTGCACGTCTCAGTTGTTTGACCATTAACGACGCATCCTCTGATGAAGCATGAGGGGGGGTTATTCTAACGTTTTTGGACATCGTGCTTCTCAAGAACCGCTTTCTGACGCTTCGTACAAGCCGAAACAAAAAAAGAAACAAAGGCCCATCAACGAGAGTACCATGGAGAAAATACAAGTACAAAAGCTCCCTCCCGCAGAGTGCTACATTTCCGGTAAAGCAAGCAAACGAACAACCACAAAGAAAAAAAACACAAGACACACACACACGCACACACCGACATTGTACCCTTTAGAAGAATGTTGTTTTCCCAACCGCACTGAGACAGGTATTTTCGTTGTTCGGCCGCCTAGGGCGGTCGATGCTACCAACAAAGACGCACACCCACACAAAGAAGAACGCTCCCACCAGGAAAGGGCAGGATATCGGTGTCTCACCGGCCCGGGGATTGGGGTCTTCCGCGGCCCATCGCACGTGCAGCACGGGCCCATCGTCTCCGCCGTCACCGCCGCCGCTACCGCTACCGGAGGAGGCTGACGAGGGCGGCCGGCTTGGTCCGGTGCTTTTTTCTCTCCGTCTCTCGCCGGCGGCTGCAACGACGGTGTTGCATCGACAAACGGAGGGGGCGCGGGGGGATCTTGTGTTTTTGCTTGTCTCGGGGGAAATTAAAACAGTTCACCGTGCATCCCTTTCGAAGGGTGTACTCGCATGCCGTGGGAACGGGGGGGGAATTAAACACTTGGCCATGCCTTCCCTTTCGGCAGGGTTACTCATGCAGCCACATGCCGTCCTCGCTAGACCAAAAACGAACTAGAAGCCAAGTGATCATTCGTGTCTACCAATACCGAACCTATTGGCGAAAACAGCAAAAGCTAACGGAGCGGCGGGCCGATTCAACCCATGAACCCACCAGATCATAAACGTGGCCTGCGCCTGGGCTTTCGCTGCCTCGTCCTCGCGAGGCCTACTTTCCGTTCTGCAGTGAGATGGCAACTTCTCCATGAAGCGCTCATTGTGGGTTACGGTGATACGGCACATGAGGCGAAGACCTCACATGGCCTTCCCAGCATGGGACGCAGACTGGCATCCTGGGCGATATCCATCTACAACTATTAGCAGGCCGAGACTTCTTGTTCTTCACATGTGCAGTCACTGCGCGGCAGCTCCAGCAGTAGCTGTAGCCGTGACAAGTGGTGGCTCGTGACACCACAAAGATCGTAGCATACCTCTGTTGGACGCGAGCTTCTCGGCGGTGAGGAGAGACTGGTTCGACATCGCTTCCTTGGCGAACTCGGCGCTCGCTCTGTGGGCGTACTGGACGAAGGCGCAAGACTGTACCCGGTCGGACACACGTGTAGTTTGTTGCGCGCGGGCGGCATGGCAAGACGCCATGAACACAACAAAGGGAGGGGGGTCGGGTGTTCGTGTGTGTGGGGTGTGTGCTCTTGAAACAGAGTGCCGTCGTCGTTAGACCATTTTGACATCGCATCCCTACATTGTCGGGGATGGGGCGACGATTCCCCGATTGTCGCCGGCCCAGGCTACGGCCCCCTGGTGTTTGCCATCGGGGATGGGGTGTCGTCGCTTGCCAACGACGTTGTAAAACAAGCAGAAAATAATTAAGTCATACGCAGCTGTCATCTGTATGCAAGTAAGCACAACATGCCGAACACCCTTAGCAGGATGCAGCGCACCCTTCATGCGACTCGCCGAATACCTCACGGCGCTTCGCGCTTGGTGATGTGAGAGCCTGGTCCGGTGAGAACCCGGCGTGCTCCGTCCCGGCTTTGTAGGGATGCGAGGTCAATGGTATAACGACTACGGCATGCACGACTATGAGTACACCCAGGCGGTTTTCAAGAGGGAGGATAAATACTCGAGGCTTGCAGCGAAAGAAGCACGAGCCCTGAATCAATGGTTCGCACCGTCCGGTTTCACAGCAGGCACGCGCACATGCACAGAATTCCGTTTTGCCCCTATTCCCCACCGGCCTGAACGCCAAAACCGCACGATGTCGAGCTGAGTTTTCGCAGCGGTAGAGACGGGCGATTTCGTCCGGGCATCCACCTTCCTCCCCCACAATAAACAATGACAGAGAAAAACAAAAAACACCAGCAACAACGCAGGGCGACATATATTTGCAGCCGCCCAACACAACACCATAAGCATAGTACTCAGCACTAGATACGTGTATCATGTTGGTATGTGTTACTGGACGGGCATACCCCGTTCTGGCGTGCAGGGCTTGCTTGCCCTGCTGTCCACTCGTCAAACTCGGCAATGATCAAAGTCTTGGGTTAACCTTTTCTCCACAGCCTCTGACGTTCAGCACCAGCTACCAACACGACATATCGTGGAAGGCTCCTGCGGGCACCGGTATTGGTGTGGACCTACTTGTGGGCGGATTCGTCAACTTTGGAGCTTCCGGCTGCACGCTATTGATTTGTTGCTGTGTTCGTCGCCGCTTGGAGCTCACCGTTGGTTGTGTGCGAGTGTTTGGTGTTCTGTGGAGATGGGACAAACAAGAAACTGACAAGATGGATGACCTTAGAGCCAAACTAACCCGGTCCGGTCAAGGAGCTCGAGAAAGCACAGTCGCTGGGCGATGTGGATCGAGAAGAAAGGGAACGAGAAGGAAGGGAGCGAGAGCGAGAAGGAAGAGAGCGGGAGCGAAACCGAGCTGAAAAGGCGGAGGAACTGGTTTTGCTTGCAGAATTGCTTGCAGAATCAGTTCCTCCGCCTTTTGAGCTCGGTTTCGCTCCCACTCTCTTCTTTCTTGTTCTCGCTCTCGCTCCCTTCCTTCTCGTTCCCTTTCTTCTCGATCCACATCGCCCAGCGACTGTGCTTTCTCGAGCTCCTTGGCCGGACCGGGTTAGTTTAGCTCTAAGTTTCAGTCATCTCATCAGACTCTTCTTTTGTCCCATCTCCACACGACAGCAAACACTCACGCACAACCAGCCGTGAGCTCCAAGATGTGACTTCGAGAAACACCGTTTTCGGTGTGTTTTCGGTCTGTGGGTCGCTAATCTATTTCGTTCTGTTTTCGGTGGTAAAGCTACAAAACAATCTTTCTTGATGTGCTTTCGGCATGCGGGCCGCAATATTTGTCTTTCGGTGTGTTTTCGAAGCGCGGTAAACACCGTCCTTCGACATGGTTTCTGCCTGCGGACCGCAATATTTGTTTCTGTAGTGTTTTCGACGGGCACAAACCACCGTTCTTGACTATATTGAGTCGGAGCGGGGGGGGGGGGGGGGGGGGGGGGGGGT